GGGAAAACACAACATGTAAGACAAGACCCCAGAAACCCTACAGGACCAGTTTTTCTGCATATATGAATGTTTCTGTTCAGTGCCATGAGATGACTTCTGTCGTGACTTGGCGCTAAATAAATAAACTGAATTGAAGTTAATTGAAATATTTTCATGTAATTGACAGTAGAATGAAAATTGGACCAAATTGATGGGTCAATAAACACAGCACTGAAAGACTAAACAGCCCACAGCTGCTTTCTTGTTGAAGATCTTCAGTCACTGAGCCATTGAGCAAGTGTCTGATAGTTAAGAGCATTAGCTAAAATAAAAAAAGATGAAAAAAACTGTATGAATTAATATATTAAAGTTGAGGCCTTATTGTTCTGTGGAAAATTATTTATTAGAATCTGTTCAATTAAAAGAAAAATCACATATTTTAGGTTCTACTTTGATTTCAATACTGCATCTGAATTTACACATCTGCCAATACCATCATTTTTCACATCCAGAAACTCTTCACTTCAACATGTTTCTTATATAGTTGTTTTTAGTGATATTTCAGTAAATTTAGATTATTATCAACACAAGCTAAATTTCTGCTATTTGTGCCTTTATTTATTGTAGACTTTTTATTTGCATCACAATTCCTCAAAAAGCAACAGGAGGATCCTGTTGAACTCACATACATATTGGATTTTGACCTAGCAACCCAACTTTTGAAAGAACACTTTCTTATGATGCGACCACACATGAAAATGGAAGCTGGTACCTCACTGATGTTTTTTAAAGTTATCATGCTCACAACATTAACAGATGGACTAATGGATGGAGGTGGGGTATTTCCAATCCCCCTTTTGGCTCTGGAAACAGGGACAAAAACACATGCTAGTGTTGTTCAGTCACATTGTTCTTACCTTCATGCTCTATGTTCAAATATTTATCCCCCCCACCAAAAAAAATAAAAAATAAAAAAATATCTGTAATCCATTCAGTGGGAGTGGTGGTGCAGAGGTTAGAGAAGGTGGGCCTGTGATTGGAAGATTGCTGGTTCAACTCCCGGTACCAACAACATCAAAAATGTGGGTGGGGTAAGTGAAGCACCCACACCTGCCCCCACCCTCATTCGCCCCACTCTGGGCCCATGAGCAAGGCCCTGAACCCCCATCTGCTCCCTAAACAGGTCTCTCTTGAAAATGAGTTCTCGTAGTGAGACTTCCTGGATAAATAAAGGCTAAATGAAAAAATGAATAAAAAATAAATAATAATAATTATAATTACTGTGTGCTTAAAAGAAACAATGCAACTTCATGATAGTGTGTGTGGGGAGTAGACAGGACTTATAGCTCCATGCATTTCAAGACAACAAGCTTATCTTGTTTGTCTCTATGGTCCCTGTGATGGACTTGCAACCTGTCCAGGGTGTCCCCTGCCATGGGCACCAGTGAACTCCCATGACCCGAAAAGGAAGAAGTGGGTAAAGATGATGGATGAAAGGAAATGCTGACACAAAATATAATGGCATAAAGTCTGATTTTTCTTTCTGGGGCATTATTATGAATGTCATCCATGAATGTCCTGATACATGCTCAATAATCCAGGTAGAAAAATCCAAAAAGTTCAATCTGGTCCTCTGGACATTAAAAAAAAAAAAAAAAAACAAAGCAAAAAAATCTAGAAACGTTTTCGTCTCTCATCCAAGAGACTTCCTCAGTCTGAGGTGCTGTATTCAGCTCAGTCTCTTAAATAGCAAGAAATCGTCCATCATTAAACAGGGGCGGAGCCTCCGGGTTCAACTGTCCCCCTCTTACAATGCTGTGATTGCTAGTATCACTCAGCCCTCTGTGAGTAGTAAACAGCCATCAGTGTGCTAATGATCCATTGTTAGGCTGATGGTCCTTCTTGAGCATGTGATCAGCTGGTTTTGGTTGTCAGCAGCAAAACTGGTTGATCCACTCTGAGAAGGTGCTATTTAAGAGACTGAGCTGAATACAGCACCTCAGACTGAGGAAGTCTCTCGGATGAGGGACGAAACGTTTCTAGATTTTTTTGCTTTGTTTTTTGTTTTTTTTGAATGTCCAGAGGACCAGATTGAACTTTTTTGGGCATCCATGAATGGTTACTTATTGTTGTTGCCATGGTGATCCAGACGCACCCAAACAGATTTTCCTTTCTGACACTGCCCGTCAGCTCAACACTTCTTTTACATGAGGAAATGTTTCACAGTCTAGCCGTCTGGTGTGTTCAGTAATCTTTAACATTTTTGCAAATGCTTCTGACGCCGATGACTTCAGGCCACAACACATTTTGCTAGAATAGAATTTGCACTTCAAAAAAAAGTAACATTGACCCAATAAAAATATACCAAAAAGCAAATCTTAAAGATATTTCTAATAAAAAAAAAGTTAAATTTAACAAAATACTATTGCTGACATGTTTTTTTCCCCTGACCTTGCAGCCCAAACTCTTTTCAGCAGAACACATGCAGGCTAATGGCAGCATGAATATTCCAGTTCATGTCCAGACTGCAAAACAAAATCCAACATTGCTTCACACTAAACCTCAGCCCTCGGGTTTCTTCTTTCTATTTGATGTATTTTACTGAAGTTCATCAGAGATTTTAAAAAAGCCCTCCCAACTGGAATTAGTTGCTTTGTATCTAACAATAATCACTGTCTTGTTTTGTCTCCATCAGATCCGTGGGTTTTTCCCTCCCAGATGTTGTTCCTGATATCTTGTCTGCTGTCTAAAGCGGACTGAAACTCCCAACGGATTTCCAAGCAGAGCGATTATCTGCTGCATCTTGCTCAAGAGGGGCTTGATTATACATCAGCAAATAAGGAGAAACATACACTGCCACTCTTCTTTGCATAAGAAAGCAGACGTTCAATCGATTCCCATCTCTTAGGGATCAGACAAGCTGCATCTCAAGTGACAGTTTCTTGACAAAACCGAGCTGTGACGTTTGAGTGTAGTTAAAAATTGGGACTTGCATCGTGACTTAGCAATCATCAAAATACACAGAGGATATAACAAACTACATCTGCAAAGTCTAATGAAATGCAAACAAAAAGCACTTACCTGATCTACAGGCCATATCTACATCTTTGTCAAAGTCAGTCTGAGGAAAGGGAATATATCAGTTCGCATCTCAACAGCATTTACTAACAAATATTGAAAGATTACAGTAAAATGATGGCTTTGCTTACCATGAGCTGGGCGTGGCCATTTTGGAAAGATCCACCAGAATCTCCATTGGTGTCTTCTTGCCGGTCTACAACACGACACTTCACGGCTTCTTGAACCTGCAGCAAACCATTATAAAACCACAGTGTTACAGCGAGAATACACATACATATAATGTATGATCATGTATGTGCATGTGTGAATCATGGGAAAACATGCAACTCCACACAGAAAGGCCCCAGGCTGGGAGGTAAGCCTGTGAACTTCCTGCTATGAGGCAACAGCTCTGAGCAGTGCCTTGCTGTGCCACCTATCACAATAATGACATTATTGCAGAGATTTAAATGTGACCATCACAGGTGGACGAACCAAAGCATGTAAGGTGCAACATGAAGCACAGAACAGGTGCCGCACCTGATGGACGAATGGATGGAGGGAAACTAAAAGCAGACTAATTCAAATACTTGCTGACTAATCAAAATTTTGACGTCAACTACCATAGTAATCAGTTGTAGCTCAAACAGTACAACTGCCTTTAACAGAGTCAGAGGCAACCTATTATCACTTTAGTGATCTGTTAGCAATACAAAAGCAAATGTTGCTGAAGAAAACACTGCGTTATTATATACACAAATTATATAATTAAAAATGTTAGATGGTAAAAGTTTTGAAAGACAGATTTTTATGTAAATAATTTATCCTGATCATATTGCTTATTTGCATATATGCATATTTTATATAACTGATCACAATATTTTACTACAGACGCTTGAATATGATATTGGGATTACAGGAACGGCTCTACATTGGTTTAAATCATATCGAGCTGATAGATTCCAGTTTGTAAATGTAAATATTGAATCTTCTTCATACATCAAAGTTAATCATGGAGGTCCTCAGGGTTCAGTGCTCGGACAAATACTATTTACTTTATATATGCTTCCATTAGGTAAAGTTATTAAACAGCATAGGATAAATTTTCATTGTTATGCTGATGATACACAATTATATTTGTCCATGAAACCCGACAAATTCAATCAGTTACTTAGACTACAAGCATGTCTTAAAGACATAAAATCATGGATGACCCTTAATTTTCTGCTTTTAAACTCAGACAGGAAAGAGGTTTTAGTTTTTGAACCTGAGCATTTTAGAAATAAATTTGACAGCCTTTCACTTTCTGTGGGTGTCATTAATCTGGCCTCCAGTTCTAAAGTTAAAAGCCTTGGTGTTGTTTTTGATCAGGACATGTCTTAGTACCCCTCCATTAAAAACATGACCAGAACTACTTTCCTCCACCTGGGTAATAGTGATAGAATTAGAAACATCTTATCTAAAAATGATGCAGAAAAACTTGTCAAGGATTCAAGAATTGTTTTATTGTGAGGAAAATAAGTATTTGAACACCCTGTGACTTTGCAAGTCCTTCCACTTAGAAATCATGGAGAGGTCTGAATTTTCATCTTAGGTGCATGTCCACTGTGAGAAACATAATCTAAAAAAAAAATCAGAAAATCATAATGTATGATTTTTTAATAATTTATTTTTGTGTTACTGCTGCAAATAAGTATTTGAACACCTGTGAAAATCAATGTTAATATTTGGTACAGTATCTTTTGTTTGCAGTTACAGAGGTCAAACGTTTCCTGTAGTTCTTCACCAGGTTCACTCCAGCAGGATTTTGGTCCATTCCTCCACAGATCTTCTCTAGATCATCCAGGTTCCGGGGCTGTTGCTGAGAAACATGGAGTTTGAGCTCCCTCCAAAGATTTTCTATAGGGTTTAGGTCTGGAGACTGGCTAGGCCACTCCAGAACCTTGATCTGCTTCTTACGGAGCCACTCCTTGGTTCTCCTGGCTGTGTGCTTTGGGTCATTGTCATGTTGGAAGACCCAGCCATGACTCATCTTCAATGCTCTCACTGAAGGAAGGAGTTGTTCCCCAAAATCTCTCAGTACATGGCCCCGGTCATCCTCTCCTTAATACAGTGCAGTCGTCCTGTCCCATGTGCAGAAAAACACCTCCAAAGCATGATGCTTCCACCCCCATGCTTCACAGTAGGGATGGTGGTTTTGGGATGTTACTCATCATTCTTCGTCCTCCAAACACGGCGAGTGAAATTAAGACCAAAAAGATCTATTTTGGTCTCATGTGACCACAGAACTTTCTCCCATGACTCCTCTGGATCATCCAAATGGTCCTGGTCAAACTTCAGACGGGCCTGGACGTGTGCTGATTTAAGCAGGGGAACCTTCGTGCCATGCATGATTTTAAACTATGACGTCTTAGTGTATTACCCACAGTAACCATGGAAACAGTGGTGCCAGCTCTCTTCAGGTCACTGACCAGCTCCTCAGAGACTGACCGTCATGTTTAGCTTCTTTCATTTTCTAATAGTTGCTCCAACAGTTGATCTGTTTTCACCAAGCTGCTTGGCAATTGTCCCGTAGCTCTTTTCAGCCTTGTGGAGGTCTACAATTTTGTCTCTGGTGTCTTTGGACAGCTCTTTGGTCTTAGCCATGTTAGTAGTTGGAGTCTTACTGATGGTGTGGGGTGGACAGGTGTCTTTATGCAGCTAACGACCTCAAACAGGTGCTTCTAATTTAGAATAATAAGTGGAGTGGAGGACTAACAGGTCTTTGAGGGCCAGAACTGTTGCTGATTGCCAGGTGTTCAAATACTTATTTGCTGCAGTAACACACAGATGAATTATTAAACAATCCTACATTGTGATTTCCGGATTTTAAAATTTTTTTTTAGATTATGTCTCTCATAGTGGACATGCACCTAAGATGAAAATTTCAGACCCTCCATGATTTCTACATGGGAGAACTTACAACGTCGCAGGCTGTTCACATACTTATTTTCCTCACTGCACTGCATAGTGCAGCCCAGAGCTGAAGAAAAGGCTTCCTCCTGCGCTTCTGTGCAACCCTTACTGTAGGATAAACTTCCTCCTGCAGTTGAACAGCTGAGATCAGCTGATCTGCGTGCAGACCAAAGACGTGGGTGTGGCCCAGAGCGTTTGCATTTGGCTGAGAGCAGCAAAGGTACAGAGAGGGAAATCATGACATTCTGTGCTCTTTTAGAGCATTTAGAGTTTAAAAACATTTTTTAGAATATTGCAAAGAATGTGGGAAGGGTTTAAAACACTTTAATATCTATGTATATAAATGCTAAAATAAACTATTATTTACTACTTGTACTACTCTTCCTACTTCGCAGTTTTTATGAATGAAAAATTAAAGTTTGCTCAAGAATGTGATAAAAACAGCATTTTGCTGACAACATGCTGACATTAACTGTATCTTTAAATGATTTCTTCTTATGACTTTTTATAATTGTTTATTGTTGTTACTGTTGTCCATTGTTGTCATCATTCTTTGTTGAAATCAGGTCTCATGTAAATGAGTCCTCGAGACTCAATGGGATTTACCTGTCTAAATAAAGGTTGAATGAATTTCAATTATCGCGGGTGTTGCATGTATTATGCAAATAACCTCGTTGTTTGGGCACCACCTCTCTCTTGGAGAGGAAAAATCAGTCTCTATTTACCCCAAAATAATGTAAACTTAACGTGAATTATTTTCTTGTGTTTAAAGAATATCTAATCAATCAGTACACACAGATATGCCAAAATAATCACAAATTCAGTTGATTTTATGTATTTTATTATAAAAATAATAATCTGTGACACATATGAAAATTATGCATAACAAAATTTAACTGGATATCAAATGATGTTGAATCAAAGGTCTAATTGATAAGTAAAATCAGTGAAACTTAAAAGGCAGACTTAGGACTGGTTTCTGTTTGTGAAGTAGTTAAAATTGTGTCTAAGGTGATCTAAGTTTGTCTGATAAGTTGTGATGTAGGTTCACCAGAAAGGCATTGAAAAGTCTCTGTCCTACCAGGATGAGATGGTCAGAGCGTGGTTCTTACAGCTGCTTAAATGGTACCAGCCTTAGATGTTCTGGTGACTGAGAGGCTGAAGTCTCCTCAAAGTTCACCTGTCATCATTAGAGGGACGAAGGTCCAATCGGGAGTCAGCTGGGATTTTCCGCTCTGTGGTGTGATGGTTGCCTGGTAGACAGCTCTCAGGTTAATGCCTGGTTCTGGTTCTGCTGGGTAATAAGCATTATGTGTAGAACCACTAGACTGAGGAACAGCTTCTACCCTGAGGCTGTTAGACTCATGAATCTCTAACCAGAATAATCACAGTGAAAAATCACATCATGTTGCTGCTGATATGTTTCATGTTGCTGCTGATCTGTTTCATGTTGCTGCTGATCTGTTTCATGTTGATGTGTTCATGCATGCTCATCTGCTCACACAGACTCGTGCTCATGTTCGTGCTGCTGTTCAACGTAATGTTTAATGCTGTTAGTGCTTAGTGTATTTTTATTTTATGTTTTTCTTAGTTCATATCTTAGATGTTATCATTGTTTTTCTTATACATTTTATTGTTGGATGTAACTGGGACCCTGTGTACATAATTTCGCTCCACCACATGGAACACATGAGGTGGAGCGACAATAAAGAATCTCTGACTCTGACTCTTGTAGTTTATTTGACACAGAGTAGTAGTACCACTTATAGATCTTACATTCACCATTCTATATATTTTCTTGTATTTATGGTTTGTGTACACTTCATGTGCACTCTCTAGTGTTTGTCTTTGATATTAATAGCAGGGTTAAAGGGCCACATACAGGATACTACAGCATGTTGGGCTGTTTTTTAATCATAAACAGAAACCTCTCTTTGTCTTGTGAAGAACTTGAGGAGCAGTAATTATGTTATGTGGAGTACAAGACTCAAGTTTTGTTTTGTTACTATAGCAACTAGAGAATTGTTTAAGGTTTCTTATCAACCGTTTCATGATGCACTGCGCTTACAGTTTTCATTCATCAAACAAAGAAACAGACTGAGCCGGAAAAAAAACTCCAACAGCTTTTCTGACGTGTGTTTTTGATGGACTTTTGAATACAAAAAAACCTGAAGCGTTGAAAAATTGATTATCCATTTATGAGAAAAACAGTGTTTCTGTGTGGACAAGGGATTAACAGAAAAATGTGATATAATAGACAAATTACCTTAAAATATTTTGTTGGCATTGTCATGCTGTAAATATGTGACATAATCATGACTATGACGTAGACATTCAAATGATAAGAAAAAGTTTCTGTTCTAATCTTTTCTTGTTTTGTTTTGTAGCATGGCCCCAAACAGCACAAAGTAAAAAAAAAAAAAAAGTAAAGAAGCTTTCGTTCATACCTGATGTGTTTTAGCTTACCTCTCTGCGCAGGATGCAGTGAACCATCACTATAACGAAGCCTTCCAATGAATCAAACACAGCAAAAAGAATCTGAAAGAGTGCAGAGCGCCGGTCGGTGATGGCCAGTACAGCCGACATCCACGTGAGGGCCAAGAGTGGCAGAACCACACAAGAGCTCCACAGAGAGGCCCTGCAGGACATGAACACAAGCAGAGTCAAAGATGGCCGCCCATGACACACACACAACAAGACTTCATGTCACTTTCTCTGCAAAACTGTAAACTGACTTGATGTTTTATAGAAATGACTCTTCTACACAAAACAAGTCATAGAAATGAAACTTATGTGGTAGTTGGCCATCATTAGCTGTCTGTTTCCTTACTATTAGCATTATTGGCTCTACTCATGCAGAAATACACCGAATCCCAACAAATACTTATTTTACTATCACAAACTAAAACATGCATCCATTGTCTGCTGCATGGCTGTAATTCACAAAGATCACATGCATGTTTCAGATGGTTTACTCAAACCATAGAGGGTCTGTTGTCAATGGGTGGGGGTGGGGGGGGGGGGGGGGGGGGGGGGGGGGATGAGGAAAAGCAAAATGAAATGAGGCTGAAAGAATGCAAAGACAAACAGAGGAGACAGACCAGAGGAAGGCAGAACGAGAGTGTTGGAGGAGAGTCATTCCTGTGCCTGTTTTCATTTAATTTATTGTTTCATTTATTCCATTCGTTCTAATGAGAGTATTTCACTTAAACAAGGACAATAATGATCCTCGGTGTGACCGTGTGGAAATTAACTACATGTAATTAGCACATCCACATGTGATTAAAGGCTGTCCAAAGGTGGAAAAAGAAAAATACTCAAGTACAAAAAGGCAAACGCATTATACAAATAATTAACCAAACAAATTGTTTGTTGGTTAACTGCCTGGATTCAACTATATCAGCGCTATTCAACAGGTGGCGCGGACCACTTCCAGCCTGTGGGTGGCTTCAGTCTGGCACACCAATGAGTTTATATATATATGTATATTTATTCATATACAAACCGGATTCCAAAAAAGTTGGGACACTAAACAAATTGTGAATAAAAACTGAATGCAATGATGTAGAGATGGCAAATGTCAATATTTTATTCGTAATATAACATAGATGACAGATCAAAAGTTTAATCTGAGTAAATGTAACATTTTAAAGGAAAAATATGTTGATTCAAAATTTCACAGTGTCAACAAATCCCAAAAAAGTTGGGACAAGTAGCAATAAGTGGCTGGAAAAAGGAAATTGAGCATATAACGAACAGCTGGAAGACCAATTAACACTAATTAGGTCAATTGACAACATGATTGTGTATAAAAAGAGTTTCTCAGAATGTCAGTGTCTCTCAGAAGCCAAGATGGTAAGAGGATCACCAATTCCACCATTGTTGCGCAGAAAGATAGTGCAACAATACCAGAATGGTGTTACCCAGCGTAAAATAGCAAAGACTTTTAAGTTATCATCATCAACCGTGCATAACATCATCAAAAGATTCAGAGAATCTGGAACAATCGCTGTGCGTAAGGGTCAAGGCCGTAAAACTCTACTGGATGCTCGTGATCTCCGGGCCCTTAAACGTCACTGCACCTCAAACAGGAATGCCACTGTCAAGGAAATAACAGAATGGGCTCAGGAATACTTCCAGAAAGCATTGCCAGTGAACACAATCCACCGTGCCATCTGCCGTTGCCAGCTGAAACTCTACAGTGCAAAGAGGAAGCCATTTCTAAGCAAGCTCCACAAGCTCAGACGTTTGCACTGGGCCAGGGGTCATTTAAAATGGAGTGTGGCAAAATGGAAGACTGTTCTGTGGTCAGTTGAGTCACGATTTGAAGTTCTTTATGGAACACTGGGACGCCATGTCATCCGGACCAGAGAGGACAAGGATAGCCCAAGTTGTTATCAACGCTCCGTTCAGAAGCCTGCGTCACTGATGGTATGGGGTTGCATGAGTGCTTGTGGCGTGGGCAGCTTGCATGTCTGGAAAGGCACCATTAATGCAGAGAACTATGTTCAGGTTCTAGAACAACATATGCTACCATCTAGACGTCATCTCTTTCAGGGAAGACGCTGCATTTTTCAACACGATAATGCCAGACCACATTCTGCAGCAATCACAACATCATGGCTACGTAGGAGAAGGATCCGGGTACTGAAATGGCCAGCCTGCAGTCCATATCTTTCACCTATAGAGAACATTTGGCACATCATAAAGAGGAAGGTGCGACAAAGAAGGCCCAAGACGATTGAACAGTTAGAGGCCTGTATTAGACATGAATGGGAGAGCATTCCTATTTCTAAACTGGAGAAACTGGTCTCCTCTGTCCCCAGACGTCTGTTGAGTGTTGTAAGAAGAAGGGGGGATGCCACACAGTGGTAAAAATGGACTTGTCCCAACTTTT